TGAGGCCCCCTGGCTGGTTGTCTTCCCATGGCCTGGGCTCTGGACACAGCAACAATCACCAGCAGTCATCTCGGTACTGAACGGTGACTCAGAGCCTGGCGGGCTGACACAGCGCCCAAGCTCCCGCCCCCAGACATCCCAACCAACTTCCGTGAATCTGCCCCAGCTGTCTGGCCACTGCTGGCCTCTGCCTCCCGGGTGCTCTGCCCTGAACTTCCTCTTCAGCTGGACACAGCCCAGGGACCAAGGGCCAAATTTGCTGAGAAAAACCTTCGGCTCCATAGAGGGCCTGTGGCATCCATGCCCAGACACGCAGGACCTGGGAGGGGAAGGTGGGGGGCAGGACACAGGTATCCCCTGCAAGGCGTCTCTGCCCTCTGGGAGTTTAGGGACACTCTTGGACAAGGAGGGACAAGGGATCTGCCCAACCAGTGAGGGAAGGACAGGCCTGCCACAAGGCAGGGGGAAGGCTCCCTGGACGAGGTGGTCTTGGAGGATGCCAGGAGGCCGGTGAAGCTGGAGGCTGTTCCAGCAGCCATCACAGTGATGAGTCCAGGGCAGCACACTGGAGGGCCTGGGGTGGGCAGAGGCCCTGAGTTAGGCCACATGTAGGATGGTGGGACCACCTGAATGGGCTGAGGTAAGGCTCAGAGCCCAGGCTCCAGAGCAGTGCTGGTTCCGTGACTTGCTCCTAGTGGGCCCATCCCTGCCCCGGGAGGCGCCTGGGCCGGTGCTCGGGCCCGCGGTGAGCTCCAGCCGACAGCAGAAGGCTGAGTCCAGCCTGCCTCAAGGTGTCTAAATGTGGACATTGCGGGACCCAGTCCTGGCGTCATGCTTGGGTCCAAAGGTGGAGAGGCTGGCGGCACCCATGGAGAAGAGGGGTGAGAAGCAGGGCCTGCCCACGACAGGCGCCAGGACAGAACTGCTCTTTTCCTCCGCGGGGCTCGGGAGCTCTGAGCTGCGGAGCTGGACGGAGACAGAAGAGCGCAGGCTCGTGCTCCTGTCAACCATCCTCTCCTGGCTGCCCCTTGCTGGCCTGACCCCAGCCCTTCCGTGGGTCACTGACTTCTCCCAGGTGTGGTGGGGCATGCCCTGGCAGAGGTGCTTTGAGGTCCTAACTGACCCCAGGGTGTCATTTCTGCAGTGACAGCTGCACATGTCCACTCCAGGGACAGATGCTTCGTGGCACCACCCCTCGAGGCAGGGTCAGCTCCAGCGTCCTGGTCTTTGCCCTGACAACTCTGACCCCTTTGTCTTCTGGATGGTGGGAGGCCTGTCCTGCCCCAGCACGTTCACAGAGCAGGCCACACAGCCTGACCACCAAGAAAGCAGGTGGGAACAGGCCTTGTGGCCTGCAAGGGGGCACCACCAGCCTGGGCCTCCCCACTGGTCACTGGGCTATGGGACAGGCACACCTGTGCTCCTGACCACAGGTGCACAGTCCCATGAGGGTCCCAGGGTTCAGTGACTTCCTGCCAGGACCTCGATGATAAAAAGAGGCTGCAGGGTTCAGTACGACACACAGTCCAACTCTTCCAGCCCAGGAGCTCCCTGTCACCCAAGAGCAGAGGGCAGGGTGACATCTGGGGACAGGGCCTTTCATTCCTTGGCTCAGGTTCTACTGGCTGCCCAGCCTCCCTTGATCTGGGGATAACCCAGCTCTGGCCAATGAGCTGTAGATGGATATTGCAGGTGGGCCTCTGAGGAAAGCAAGCCTTTACAAGGGAACAGAGTGGCCTTTCCTGTACTTCTTGCCATCTGCTCTCTGCCCAGCTCCTTCCTACCTGGAATGTGGATGTGAAGGCTGGGGCTCTGGCAGCTATGTTTGAGCATAACAATGAGTAAGGCACTGGACATCATGAAATGTGAGGTCCACCTCATTTAGAACATGAGCCTCATGGATGTTGGTTTTCTGTTAAAAGGGGAAACTAATAGGTGACCAAAAAACCTTCCCTCTGCTCAAGACCCCTGGTGGTATGGCGTCCCCTCCTGCATTGCAGTTTTCACAGCATGGGACTGAGTTCTGTCCCCGGAGCACTCTGGAGCCTGGTCCTGACCTTGGAGGGCTGGGCTCAGGGCCTCGGTTCACTTCTACCGCCAGCCCTCCTGCCCCTTCCCCCCAACCCCCACTGCCCTTTGAGCTCTGGCCAAGTCTCCTGCAGCTTCCTTCCCTGCCCCGGGCAACCTGTGAGTCCTGACCGAGCTTTGTGGAGCGGGGGTCTTCTCTGTCGGCAGTGTGGCAGGGCTCGCCACGGGCTGGGCCAGAGCGGACGGTTGAATGAGTGGGCCAGAACAAGAAGTGGCGCTGCCAGGGACAGACAGGAGGAGTTGGACCTGGAGGACAGACAGAGGGCAGATTAGCAGGTAAGGGAGACTTGGGCAAGCCAGATGCTGGGGCCGCACAGAGTCCCCAGAGGTGAGAGGACGAAGGCTACACCCTCCTGCATAGGAGGCAGAGGCCCCTGGCCAGACTCTCCAGTTAGACAGCGGATAATTACAATCCGCTCCAGCTCAGGAGGGCAGAGAAGCTGGAGGAACGCAATCACCGCTGTGCTGGAAAACCAGACCAGGCAAGAAGCGCACGTGGGAGGTGGAGAGGGGCTCCACCAGCCGGAGGGTCACCCTAGGCTCACCCGGCTCCTTGTGGACGGGTGCCCAGGGACACAAGACCTGCTCCCCATCATGAAGAGCCTCTCCACGTCACCCTGTGGTCCAGACTGCGTGTGGTCCCCTCCGTGGGGTGACTTTGGGGTCCCTGCATGGAAGCTTCTCCTGAGAGACGTGTGTATGTACGTGCAGTGTCTGTCTGTGAACCACTCCTTCTCTGAGCCTTGCAAGGACTTGAACCAGATGGGAGGTCCAGTGAGAGGTCACAGCAGAGCCCAGCCCTGCGCAGTGATGAGGGAGCACTGTGCCCCAGGCCCAGCACCCAGTGCTGCTCCCCAGTCTTGAACGCTCTACTTGGAGGGCAGGAGCCCCTGAAACCTGGGCTCCTGCTGCTGCCTCCTGGGTGTCGTCTTTCAGGGATGTGGCTCCAGGGACGTGAGGGACAAGGCCCAGCACCCCTAGGAGCCCTCACAGGAACACAGAGACTAAGCCTATGGCACTGGGGAAAAGCATTTGCATTCAGAAGTACAAGTAATCGCTAATTTTCTCTGAGTAACAGTCTACCAAAAATTTTTAAATTTTTTCATCTTAAGAAAGACTTACACATGACCCAGAAGCAGGCATAGTCCCATAATTATTGTTTTAACCTAATTATTTGAACATCTTTGGGGGAAAACGCACTTGAGTTGGGTCTCTAAGTTTAAAGTAAGGTAGAGAGAGGGTCTCGGCCAGGAGCTAGGGGCCCAGGCTGGACGCCCTGGGATCACAGCTTCACACAGCTGGCCCCCCGCCAGCCTCCACTATCTCCAGCAGCCATCCGGCTCCCCGACATCCTGGAAGCCCAGGCTGATAGTGGCGGTCCTGGAACCGGGTCACAGGGCGGCAGCTGGGAACCCTCTGGGGGCTGGGGCCTCCTTGCCCATGACTGTCCTGGAGCTGCATGCAGACAAGGCCTGGGTAGCGGCCAGCACCTCCCGACGTTTCAGAGCGATGTTATCACCGCACAGGAACATTCCAGAAGCAACACGCCTGGTGTTCGTTCAGCATTTGGCTCCCAGGCAGCACAGAAGCCTGCCGGACGCGTCTGCCTGGGAGCTGCGCCTGCCCCGGAGCCTCATCCCCACCCAGCCTGCCGACCTCTGCTGGGGACGAGTCTGATGCATCTACGGCAATCGGCTCTCAACATGTAGACCAGCGGTGCAGTAGCGAGCGCAGGTGAAGCCCCTGCTGGGGAGGGGGCCAGACACCAGTGGCGTAACCCCCAGACATCCGAGTGTGACTCCCCTGTGGCAGGGTCCCGGCTCTGCGGCTCTCAGTCAGCCAGTAGCCAGCAACCGCGTGGAACTTCCCTCCCTCCCTCCCTCCCAACAGGCACCTCCAGGAGTGGTCCAGGGGTCCCCGTTCCAGACAGCAGGAAGGACAGGTGGAGGCTGTGGCCAGGGTGGGGCCTCATTCACTCAACAGCACCTCTTGCCGGCGCCAGGTACACTGCAGGGCACAGAGAAGGAAACACCTGGCACAAACCATCTGTGCTCAGTACAGGTGCTGCAAAAGGGTGGCAGGGTGGGAATTCCACAGGGGCCTGCCTCCCAGCAGCCTTCCCCCCACCCCAGGCCTGCTGTGGGCGAATGTCTCTGGGTGTCCCTGACACCTCTCTTATGCTGCACAGCCCATGGGGCTTACCTTCAATGACGCCCTCTACTCACTGGGGGGAACGGGGGGGACTTCTAAAAGCCCAGGTGCCCGAGATGTCCCCAATCTCCACACCTCTAAGGAACAGTCAGAGGGGCTGAACTTGGGAATGGAGTCATTATAGATAGAGTTGGATATGATGTCACATGGCGCCAGGCATGGTAGCACATGCCTGTGATCTCAGCACTTTGGAGGCAGAGGCAGGATGGAGAGTTCAAGGCCAGTCTTGTCTCAAAAGCCAAACAAGCAGGCAACAAAGAAAGATGAGATAAAGTGGAGAAAGGTTCACTAACCTGTTACTGATGTCCTCTCAGTTGACACAGACACACAGGGAAGCCATGTGACCAGAGCCAGGGACAGGAGTGATGTAGCCACGGCCTGGGCTATCACCAGAGGCCCGGGGCAGGGGGAGCGGGGTGGGGGGTTGGACATGGCTCCTGAGGCCTTGGGGAAGCTGGAGCCCTTCACTCTGGGGCTGGCAGATGCTGTTCCTGCAGCTGGGAGCCAGTCAGCTTTCCATCCCTGAGAATGGTCTTAAAAGGTGGGAAGGTGTACTCTCAGCCCTTTCACTCTGGGCCTGAGGCAGCAGCACCGTTTATCATGTGACAGCGCGTGGCAGAGGGCTGTTTATATCATGGTGCCCTGGAAACAAACAGGAAGAGGATGGGGTCCCCACATCCCTGCAAGAAAAGCTCCTGGTAACCGAACCACACCTCCAACACGTAGTCTCTGGGGGACATTCCAGACACACGACAATGGCCTCCCACAGCACCTCCCCCGGAGGTACACAGGGCCTTCTCCTGCTGCTTCCTCTCTGACCCCCATCCCAGGCCCTGCCTCTGGGTGGCCCAGGACTGTCTGGGGCAGGGTGTGACCAGAGGATGCTTTTCCACCTGTCAGGGAGGTACCTGGCACTGCTGTGCCCCACAGGCCCTTATCTGCTGTTTACCTTAAAGAAAAAAAGGGACTTGAACTTGGAGAACCTCTCACTTGTTTATTACCAAATAATTCACATTCATTCTACAAAGAAAGGACACAAAACAGAGAACAGAAAAATCCCCACAACTGTCCAGAGACCTACTGTCTGACATCTGCTCCATATGTCCCTCCACACATGAAGGATGAGTGCGCTTTGTTTGAAAGCAAAATGGGGTGACCCCATCATGGCAGGGATCCCCACCTCTACACAGTATCCAGCAAGTTCTCACACAAGCTGCCTGCTGGCTGCAATCCTTCACTGAGCGCCGCTTCTCTGATCAAAAAAGTGCGAGGTAGCCCCACGCTTTCTCGGGACAGTTCAGAGGTTGGCTCCCAACTCCTCTCCTGTTGTTTGCCTAAGTGACCCCTCTGCTGGGCCCACCCTGGCCTGCTGCCACTGCCCTGCGCCCTTCAGCATCTGTCCTCACTCCCAGCAAGCATGGCCGGTGGGCTGCCCTCCCGGGTGAGATTCCGATGGCAAGGCCCCAGTTCCTAGGCAGGAATTGGGGTCCCCAAGAGAGAGGTGATCATGAGGCTGTGGGTCCATGCCAGCCATCGCCAGACAAGTCATCTTTAGACCAGGGAGCAAGAAGGGCTCACTCTCAATGTGTCAGGAGTGACAAGTTCTTCAGCAAACCTTCAGGTCACACAGAAGAGACCACAGCCAATGGAAGAAGCCACCCCCACCTGCCCAGGCACGCCAGGCTGCACGCACCTCCCAACAGTGCAGGAGTGGGTAGGCTGCACACACTCCTGTTTACTGAGCCCACGTCTGTCCACAGGCAGCCCAGTGTGGCTTGGGATGGTGCTCTCTCCGACAGCTGAGCTGGCCTTTGTCTAAGAGAATTCACGATGCTTCCCGGCTTCTGTCCCATTTGTTCCTTTTATTCACCATGTCCCTTCAGGGTACGCATCAGTGCCCATGGACCCTCTGCCCAGCCCCCACTTACAGGGAGGCCTCTGTGGACAATGCCCGGGCTGTGCGGTCTCTGTGAAGATGAATCCTCACGTGGTGGGTGACTGCAAGTTGTGGGGACCATGGAGACTCTCAACACAGAATGAAGGGTAAGTACTCGCAATGGTCCTCCAAGATGCTGCTCAAGTCCCTGGTCTCTGAGCCTCACACCCGCCACCACTGCCCCCTTGCCCAGCCCCATGCAGGACATGGGCTGAAGAGCCCAAATGAGCCCTCAACTCTGGAAGCGGGGGGCAGGGTAGAGGCGCACCCTCCCATTCCTTTCCACATCCTGAAAAGGAGGCTTAACAACCTATCCCCAAATCTAATCACCATGAATCAGGCTCGCTGGCTCAGTAAAGCCCTGGGCTGAGCCAGTAACTGGGTCCTCCATGGTCACAAGACTGCAAAGTGGCAAGCAGCCTGGGCAGAGAGCAGGCTGGAGCCTTGGGAGCTCTTCTGCACCCTTGGACAGCACAGATCCCAGGTAGGGACAGCCTCTACAGACCACTATAGGAAGTGAAGCAGCAGTAGGGAAGCGGGCTGTGGAAGTATCAGACAAGTAGGTGCCACCCAGGTCCCCTTCCTAAAACCGGAGTAGCAGGCGGTGGCAGACTTCCTTCCCAAACAAGGGAGGAAACAGGGCTGAAGTCTCGGGAGGGTGCCGCTGCCTGCTCAGGGTCCCTGGTGCTGTGCAAGTGCAGCCCCTGCAAACTGACCACGTTGACAACCACGTGGCTCTGCCCAGCTTGGGGCCTGGCCTGGGAAACGAAGGAGCAGATCTGTAGCTGTGGGAAGAGTCAGGGGCTGCAGGGGAGGAGTCCATAAGGCACTTTATTATGCTCACAACTGGGTCTTCTCATGACCACCCCCAACAAGTCAGAAGCACCTAAGTGGAACCAACGGCATGCCCCAGGCTCAGGTACCACAGGGCAGCTGGCACCGGTCCAGACCCACACAGACATCCCTTAAGAGTTCATGGCACACCCAGCACCCTCCGTCAGAGCTGGCTGCTGCCTTCCAGCTGCAGCTGGCGAGCCAGCTGCTTCCCAATGGCCAGCAGGGGGCTGGCTCTGTAGGTTGGGCTGGCCAGCAGCTCCCGAAACCGGGTCTGTTCTTCCTCCCTGAAAGAATGGAGACCACAGGTTAAGAGGAAAACAAGCCAAGGACCTCCCCAGGCCTCTCAGACATCAGAGGGGACAGCAGAGGCTGGGGCCACCACAGGATGCAATGCCTAGGGCATTAAGACTTCCAGAACGGGAATGCTACTCTGGGCTCACCCTACAACCACATGCAGGCCCTGGAGCCCCTGACAGCAGGCCTCAGAGGGACCTGACAGGATGCTACTAAGGCAGGAGCTGAGAAACGGGGAGCAGTGGCAGCCTGCATGCCGTGCAGACACACAGCCTTAAATAAGAGGTACCTTTCTCCTCAGTGAGCCCAAAATAGACATACGGGAGAGCCAGGAGCAGGAGGGGCAGCAACACAGGCTGTTGGCAGAGGCTGCTCAGAGGGGCCCAGGTGCCATGGCAACAGGTGGGCACAGCCCTACTCTGACCCCTGCAGCCAGTCAGCTCTTGTTCTCAGATGTACAAGACCAATGGTGGCCAGACCTTTGCCTCCTCCTCTAACTAACCTAGAAGGCCACCCTCCAGGAATGCGGTATGGTTAGTACAGTCACCTCTACTCCAGACAGGTGCCTGGGGGATGGCAAAGGTGAACTGAGTGGATAGGAAACCTCGGGTGATGACACCAGGCCAGGCCACAAGGATAGCTTTGGCTCTGAGTAGGGGTGTGTGTGTGTGGGGGGGGGCTGAGCCCCTGGGTGACCTCGGACCACTCCAAATCATGCTAGTATTCTCAGCAGTTGACAGGTGCCTTGTCCCCTGCTGGGGGATCACACTATAGTACAAGGCTGTCAGTATCCTGTTGGACCTAGCATGACCATTGGGGCTCTACTCCCACTGGTGAGAAGTGAAAAGTCTGTCACAGCCAGGACACAGTTAACAAGGCCTGCGGTCAACAGCTGGACCCAATTTGGGGCAAGTGAACCTGTCAGAGCACAACCCAGCATGCCCCCCAGCAGAGGAGCCCCCAAAGTCAGAGTCTTTACATGTTTCTGTGTATTTTATGCTTACTGCCTCCTCTTTATCTCTTGTGCATTCCCCTCTTCCTTGACAGCTTTGTCTGCAGGCAGCTCATCTAGACAGACGTTCTCTTGTGGGCACTGTGCCTGTGGCTCCTGTGCTCCCTGTCCATCTCCCTTTCCGTCTCCACAGGTTCACTCCCTCTGCATGCGTGAAAACGGTCGGCATGGGGTTAGCTCAGGTGCCAGGAAGCTGGTGCTACACCAGAAGCCAGCATGCAGGTAGGCACAGGCTGCCTGATGTGGGATGGCGGTGCAGGAGCTACACTGCACCAGGAGATGGAAGCTGACAGACAAAGCCCATCTACCCAAAGATGGACCCTTCCCTAGCTCAGTGACAGCTGGGAGTGATGCAGGGCACAGACCACCCTTCCCAGGATTACTGAGGCAATCCCCTGAGTCTGCATGTGCTGAGAGTGAGGAACATGGACTTCGTACCAGGAAAGGATGCAGCGTCCACTGCACTCAGCTGAGCACCCCCACAGACCAGTGAGACACCCAGGATGTGAAAGGGAGCTTCCAAACCAAGGGGCAAGGAAGCTACTGCTTCCCCTCTTAGACACTATGCAGACCCAGGAGGCAAAGTACAGCTGGACTCTGGTGGCTCACACCTATAATCCTAGCTACTTGGGAGGTTCAGATTGGGAGGATCATAGTTCAAGGCCAGCCCAGGCAAACAGTTCATGAGACCACCCCCATCGCCAAAATAACCAGAGCAAAATGGACTGGAGGCGTAGCTTAAGCAGCAGAGCACCTACTTTGCAAGAATGAAGCCCTGAGTTCAAATCCCAATCCAACAACAACAACAAAAAAAAAAGACAGAGAGAGAGTAAACAAAGTCCATCTGCAGAGCCAGGAGCTTGGCACCTGAGCTACCCCCATGCCCACCGTTTTCACGCATGCAGAGGGAGTGAACCTGTGGAGGCGGAAAGGGAGATGGACAGGGAGCATAGGAGCCACAGGCACAGTGCCCACAAGAGAACATCTGTCTAGATGAGCTGCCTGCAGACAAAGCTGTCAAGGAAGAGGGGAATGCACAAGAGATAAAGAGGAGGCAGTAAGCATAAAATACACAGAAACATGTAAAGACTCAGGGTCAGAAAGTATCCAGAGTAAAAAACAGATTGCAGATCACAGAGGTCCAGGAAAAGTGTAATGGTGCCCTAAAGGAGAGAGCCAAAGCTGCACGTGGTGGTGCAAACCTAATCTCCTATCCACACAGGGGTGCCAGCCCCAGGCAAAAAGCGAGACCCTGTCTGAAAAATCAACTAAAGCAAAAAAGCTGAGGGTGTGGCTCAAATAGTACACAGCAACTGCCTAGCAATCATGAGCTGAGTTCAAACCCCAGTATCTCCAAAACAAATAAAATAAAATAAAGAGTAAGAATCCTATGGCAGAAACATTTGAGGCTGTAATTCAACACACATCACCAAAAGCAACAGTAATCATAAAAAGACCTTAGTCTATAAACAGAAAGACCCCAGAGGACTGGGCATGGCTCAAGTGGAGGGGTGCACCATACTAAGAAATGTCTTAGCAGAGGTACTCCAAAGAGGGAAAAAAGTCACTCCAGAGGCAAAAGCACCACATGCTGTAAGCGAGGGTGTAAGTGTCAGGCTGCTCAGGCTCCCAGAGATCAGTGCACAGAAAACTGGGGCCATCTTGATAAGGATAAAAAAAAAAAAAAAAAATGTGGCCTAGAAGTTCATACAAGACAACCTGGCACTGGCTCTGCTGGCGGGGCACCCTGCTAATGGGGTAGAGAGGTGTAGCCAGGGAAGGGGCTCAGTCTCAGAACTGACTGTAAATACATGCCCCATCCACATCTCCCCAGGTTAAGAGGAACCCTGGGTGGGGGAGGGACAAGGAGCTGTTAATACTCTGGCCAAGGAATCACAATTCCCCTGGGAGCACTGGGTCTGACTGCACAGCACCACTTATAGCTTGTCTTGGTGGGAGGTTGAGGGGCAGGAGGCAGGAAGCCCTGGAGTGTCAAGCAGGAAACCCTGGGGTGTCGAGGCCATACTCACAGGAGCTGCTGTCTTTGGGCTGTGCTCATCCGGCTGAGCTCGGCTGGCCTGGGCTTGCTGGTCACCCTGCTGAGGATAAAGAGAGGCCAGGTCAGCCAGACACCCTGCTTCTCCTAAAAACCTGCCCTGCAGGAGGTCTGGCTCTTCCCTCCTCACAGCAGCCTGTGGGGCCCCAGGTGCCCACACTGTTGAGTCTGTGAGTTCTGCAATGTGTCCTGAACCTGGATGAGCTGGGCAACTGCCGAACACTCAACCACTACCATGTCTGGAGTTGAGGACCACAGTTATCTGGGACTTGCCTTTAAGGACCTGTGATAGGAAAGGACAATCACTTTACTGGCTGCTTCCCAATTTGTATGTTGACTTTACTGCCCTGCCTGGTCTGAATGGAGAAAAAGCTACTAGAGTGGACACATGGCACTTTCTGACAGTTATTGGCACTGGCCACTTGCCTTCTCTCTTCCTGTTAGAAAGACATAGCACCAACCATGCTGTAACCTAAGGAACCAGCAACATGAACCCACAGATTCCTGGAGAAGGCCAGTGCTGCTCTCTAGGCAGGGGGCTGCCCACAACCGCCAGGCCAGGGTATCACATAGCTGTAGCTTCCTGGGGCCTTCCAAACCACCTCACTGGGCCTGACTCAGGCAGGCAGACTGCCAGGCAGCAGGTCCCTGAAGCCAACCCTGTCAACTCTGGGTCATACCAGGAGTGCCCGTGCAGCTCCGCCCACCTCACGCAGGGACCAGCAAAGGCCCTAACAGGGCAGACCAGAGAAGCATCACCAAGCTTTCCTCCTGGGAGCAGCTGGCCTGACAAGACAAGTTTGAAGACTCCATGCAGAGGCAGTGAGGCCCTGCAATGGGAGGCAGGGCAGAAGAAGGGCAGAAAAGCACCAAGTCCCAGGGCCAATGCCTAAATTTAGACTCCTGCGCAGGAGGCCTGAAGTCTTACTCATGTTTCTTTTAAAATATGAATGAAAGACATTTATTTTGTGTCTCCTCAGTGCCCGAGCTCTACTTCCTCTTACCCCTACTCTGTCCCCGCTGATATGGGAAAGGACTGTCAGGATGTGACCTTTTCCAGTCCTGTCTGCCAGGAAGGGACACTTGCATCTCCTGACCCCTGCAAATGCTCCAGAAACCACTAGGGCACGAGAACCACCAAACAAGGCAGAGACAGCTCATCTGGGGAGCAGTGTGGCAAGGCAACTCCAAGACCAGCCTGCAGAGGGGTGTTGCCCCTCGTGGAGAGTTGACCAGCGTCCGTAGCCACTCTGGCCATAGGATCAGGGAGGCCCTGAATGCCAGCAGCAGCAGCCCCAGGCCCCAGGGTGTCCTGCAGGCACCCCGAGGCTCTTGGTTGCAGAGGACTAACTTCCTAGAGAATGTCATGTTTTACTGGTGACTGGGGCCCACTGGCAGCAGCACTGTTGGAGCAGCACTGTTTGCACTGACAGATCCTCAGCTCCTGTGGGGCGAGGTGGGAAGAAGCAGTCACTTGGAGCGCCTGTGAAGACATGCTTTGCCAGCTCAGACCCTTGGATTTTCTACAACTACCCTGTCAGGGAAATATCACTGGGACCTCAGACTTGGAGTGGACCAGAACAGTGACAGGGAAGCTGGGTCACAGAGCTACCCCCTAGGTCCCTTTGAGTCTAAGACATGGCAGGGCAGAGCAGAAACTCGCCAGCTGAACCTTAAAGGGACCCTTGGTGTGACCTGCCTAGATGGGATGCCCTCTTCCTCAGTGCAAGGAACCCTGCAAAGGAGAAACAATGGAAGAGGTGAAGGTCAAGTGCAGCTCTAAACACTCCAGGCAAGAAGTACCTAGAGTATTATCCCAGAGGGGACCCTGACTTGTGAATGGCCTGGTGGTCAGGCCAGGCCAGCCAGGGGGCCTGCAGGGCTCAGGCATGGACAGAAGGAAGCAAAGCGCCCACCTGGGGCAGGTGTGGTCCCCAGTGCATATCTGCCAGTAGTGACAGTGAGGATGGTCTTGAGACACATTCCTCCAGTCCTGTGCGCATGTGCACAGGCCGTCACACACACGTGTGTCTTTGGTCTGCCAGCTTTGAGGGCCTAGAAGCATGGACAGCCTAGGAGAGACCAGAATCCCAATGCCAGACCGTGATGTCTAACGCCCTTCTCCAAGACAAGGTGACAGGTTTTGGAGAAACAGCTGATTCTAGGACAGGGCGGGGTATGCCCAAGGTGAGCCCTGAGCACCTGCTGGTGCCACCAAGTAAGAAAGTGCTCAGAAACACAACGGCCCACACTGACGGCAGCAGCTGAAGGAGCCACCAGTGCTGGATGCTGGAACACTTCCAGCAACAAAATAAAGTAGTATTGGATTACAGCCCACAGCATCAGATGAATACCCACGAGTCCACGCTGACATAAATAAACGACTGGTAAATAAACAAATGGGGGAGGAGACAAAGCTCACAGTCCAGCAGACCCAGGTCACTTCTGCAGACACCGTGTCCTGGAGGAGGGGCATCGCTCCCCACCCTAGGCTGGGCCCTCAGGGCCCCTTCCTTCCAGACAGCTCCATCTGGAAGCACAGGAGGAGCCCGGCGAACACCCTGCATCAAGTGTCCAGGTACCACCTCATGAAAGTGGCCTTGGCCTCCGTGGCCTTCCATCTGGTAACCTACAGCCCTACCCCTCCAGGTGAGGGATGGCCTAAAAAGTGCAGGACTTGTTCTCCTGAGAACTGTCAAGGTCATAACAGGGAGAGTCTGAGACCCTCTCAGTCAGGAGGAACAGAGGAGACGTGACAACTAAATGTCAGGTGCTGTCCAGGACGGGGTCCTGGGGTGGGAGGAGGACTTTAGGGCTTTAGTTAACTGTTACTGTAAATTTATTACTTCAGACCAGTTCCTTAGTGGTTCCTTACTGGTAACAAAAGTACCACACTGATCTAAGATGCTTTGAATGGGAACCTAGGTGCAGGTTTTATGGAAACTACCTCTGACATTTTTCTGTAAGTCTGCATATTCTAAAATAAAGTATATTCACCCAGCTGGCCCACACTCATGTGGAGCCTCATGTGGAGGCCCCTGGGTCTGGCGCCCGACGGGAACCTTCCCTTGCCAGAGCAGAAAAACGCAGCACAGCACCCTTGGCGGCCCACAGCCTCCGACACATTCCTGCTCGGGCTGGCGGAGTGGGCTGTTTACACAGCACTTTCCCTTCTGGGAACCCAAGCACATTTTTCAGATGAGAAAACTGAAAAGCGGGAAGGGACCCTTGACCAGGGTCACATTTTTGCTCAAGAACCAGGAATGGAATCTGCATCGCTGGCTGTGCTCAGTCGTCAAGTCTCGACCCAGTGGCAGCTCCTTGTCTGGAGCAAATGTTCTGATGCTCCCATCTTGGGAGGCCAGCCCAAGACCATCTGGCTCTGCAGCATGTCAGCCCCATGAAAGGGTGGGGCCTCACATCTTAAGTGCACACGGCCCCTGCTTTCTCCTCAGATGGAAATTCAGTAGGAGAAAGTGAATTATTTTTAAAAAGGCAAAATTAGAAATGACAGAAATAAATGATGGAAGTCCAGCAACTGTGACAGCACAGAGCCCGATGCTTTCCCACCTGTCCCAGCAGAGGCTGCAGCTCCTGCAGGCACACATGCCAAAGCACACCTGGCCCCGGCTGCCTGGCCTTGGCTCCCTTCACTGCCATGAAGACAAGCTAGGGGTCCTGAGCATAAGAAGGCTGCAGGTGAGCTCCATGTACGTTCAATGAGCTCTGACACAGGCACTAGGCTCTGGGTATGGAGGTATGCCTCTGGTGGGAACCAGGAAAGAAGGAATGCAGTCAGCGTGTGCAGGGGAAGGCCAACTGAGAAAGGGCCACTGGAGCCACCACCTGCAAGGGGCGCAGGACAAGCCTGTGGTCAGGATCAGGCATTTGCGGGACACAGCAGTGAGACAAATCCAAATGCGAGGCCAACTGGCAGAGGGACATGAGGGAGTGTACATCAGCCAGCCAGGAAGGCCAGCCACCACCTGCCTTGAGGGCTCTATCCACAGAGTGAAAGTCCTCATGGCAAATATGGCAAAGGTACTGACTCACTGGTCTCTGCAGCATCAGGAGCCACTGTGGCCCCTTGCCTGCCCCTATCCTCTTTAGACCTGGGCCTGCTGGCCACAGCTCTGGAAAAGCCAGCCTGTGTGGGACACTTACCTCCTGGCTTGCCTCTGGCTGCCAGCCTCCAGCTCCTGCAGCTCGGGCAGCGCGTCCCTCAGGGGTTGCAGGTCCCCCACCACCACCGTAGCCCTACGCTTCCGCTCCTCTCTGAGCTTCTTCTCGGCTAGCTTTATAGCTTCAATTTCTGAGGCAGAGGAGACGAGGGTCAGAGACAGAGACACAGAACCCAGAGGCAACTTAGGGACACCAGAGACGAGGTCCTCATCAGAGTCTGGACCCAGTGCCCAGCAGGCAGTGTTATCCACTGGGCCCCGACTGTGGCCTACCTCTTCCCACACAGCTGGCAGTGCAGTTTCCCACCACCATCCTTTGGAGACCTGAGGGGCGGGTAGCTCGAGTTATTTTTTTCTCCTTAATCACAGAGGCGCTTTTTAATTACAGGGCGGATGACAAGCATGAAGCTGCACCTCTGAAGATGGCTTCCTCTGCAGAGGGACCTGGTACAGGGCCTGGGCACACAAGGCACAGGGGCTGATACAGGGGGCTCAAATTCTGCAGCACAGTCTTCTCTCTTCTGGGCAAGTCAGACAAGACTGGTGCCTCCTTGAGACAACAAGAGCAGGTCCCCACGTGGGGAGGGGCTGACAGCCACAAAGAGCCACAGGGAGCAGGGTGGGCAGCTAGGTCCTGCAGCACTAATACAAGAGTGGGCTCTCGGCAGGGCCCAGAGGCGGAGGCAAGTGGTATCCCAGGAGGGCTAAGGCCTGAAGCACAGGAGGTTGAGGCTGGTGACCTCTGTGCTGAAGAAGGGACTGCAGGGTCTGGATGGAGAGGGCATAGCCTTGGGAATTGGTTTTCATCAAAAAATATATTAATTTAAAACAGTTATTATAACAAGTGCTTAAAACACTCTATTTGCCTCCATGTGGCTTGTGAAAAGTGTGCAGTTCTGGGACAAAGCCCTGCTCTCTCTAGGTTCACATAGCAGGGCAAGGCCCTGGGTTCAAATGTGAGGTGACACAAACAGAGCCAAGACAAACACAAGCGGGGCACAGTGATACCCTTGCTCCCTCCAAGCCACAGCCACCAAGTCTGAAAAGCCACCCGGATCACGCCAGGTATGTCCCTGGCAGCAAGGGTCTGTCCCTTCATCCAGGACAAGGCCCGCCCTTCTGGAGGCCTGCAGTGCCCAACCAGGATGACCCAGTCATGCTGAGGAAGTTGGTGCTCCACCAAAAGGTTGGCTGAGAGGAAGAAAAGCCCTACTACCCCCATGATAAAAGTTATAGAAAGAAAAGCGTTGACAGAGAACAAGTGCCAGGAGCCTCTAGTAGCTATCACCTTTCTCAGCAAAACATTCGACACTACTAAGAACGCAGCTGCAATCTCATGACACCCCCATCTGTGGAGCTGTGAGGGAGACAGGCGGTGCAGGGCAGCCTGACCAGATGAGGGAAGGAGTAGGGGCTCAGCTCTTCCAAATGGACCAGAAGTGACACAGTCTCAGTATTTCAACAGGATCCTTAACCAAAACTGTAAAGATAATTCTAAATCCTCTTTTGTAAAAAAGATTTATGTGTAAGAATGGTCAAAACAGCCAGGTATGATGGATCAGGCCTATAACACCAGCTACACAGGAAGAGGAGATGGGAGAGGATCAAGGTTTGAGGCCAGACCAAGCAAAAAGTTACTGAGAACACATCTCAACAAATAAGCCAGGAGTGGTGGTTCAAGCCTCTAATTCTCGCTATGAAGGAGGGATAAATAGAAGAGTCAAGGTCCCAGGCCAGCTCTGGCAAAAAGTACAAAACCCTATCTGAAAAATAACTGAAGGAAAAAAAAAAATGGATGAAGGTGTGGCTCAAAAGGTAGAGAACCTGCCTACCATGTGCAAGGTCCTGAATTTACTCTTCCCCAAAAGAAATTTGGGGCTGGAAGTGTAGCTCAAGCAGGAGAGCACTTACCTCACAAGCATAAAGTCCTGAGTTCAAACCCCAGTACCACCAAAAAATAAAACAGCAACAATCAAAACATTTCTTAAGACAGAACAAGTAGCAAGAGCAGGAACACTGGATCTCAAAGCAAATTACAAAGAATCTACGAATGTGTGTGTCAAGCAGCAAGGACACAGAAAGGCACTGCCAGCCCTGCTGCCCCTGCCCCTGCCCCTGCCAACCCCCCCCAGCTCCTGAAGATCGATATGTATGAACCACATGCAATGAATCAGTAAGGAGGCCAAAGCCAAACAACACGGTAAGAGTTGCTCAACTTCATTAGATATCAAGGGAAAGAAATCACAGCTGTGAAGCATAACTTCCAAGTTGCCACATCAGATTGGTAAGTCTGGGGCAGGAAAGTCAAATGGGCAGCCACCTGAGCAGAGACGATAGGGCATGAAACATATTTCAAGGACCATTTGTACTTTCAGGTGTTAGGAGGAAAATTCCATTTACAACAACACTAAAACCATAAAACATTTAGCGATAAATTTGTTCAAAAGAAGCAAACACACAAAACCCCTCTATGCTAAAAACTAAACAACACTGATAATGGAAATTAAGGAAAATTAAATAAATGGTGAGATAGATATACCATGTTCATGGTCCTGGAAGAGTCAATATTATATCTTAACAATTTAAGATGGCAACTCTCCTGAAATTGATCAACAGATTCAATGTAATACCACTGAGATTTTATTGCTGCTTTTAAAGAAACTGACAAGCTAATAGTAAAATAAAATGGAAATACCAAGAACTGAGAATCCTTCAGGGAGAGGAACCAAGAGAGAGGACTCACAGAGCCTTCTAGACTATGCTGAGCTGATGAACTCACAGCAGACAGACACCATTAAATAGTATGTATACCACAACCATATAAGAAACAGACTTTTCAAAATTAAACTCCTGCCATCCAAAAAAAAAAGATAGCTAACAAGTGGCCAGTTTCGGAGTATGTTCTTCCCTGGCAATGGCCACTAACCCCGTGAGACGCCAGCAGTGGAGCCCCAGATGGCAGGACTGGAGACACAGTGCCACGTTGGCAAGGCTGTGGGGCGTTAGGACTCCCTTAACACTCCACATGGGGGTGCAAATGCACAACTGCTTTAGAAATGTCTGACAGTCCCTGGTAAACTGAACACACACCTACCCTACGACCCAACGCTCCATTCCTAAGTATTTACACACGAGGAACAGAAACATGACCACAAAAGACGGAAAAACAGTCAGACAGCCATACTCACTTTCCAAAATTGGAAAAAGCCAGGTGTCCATCAGCAGAAGACTAGGTAGCAAAGGGCGAGTACGACGGAGAGACGCGTCCAAGCCCCAGAAGGCACAGATGACCACTGTGTGCAACCTGACAGGAAGGCAGAGCACGTCCAGCAGGACTCCACGGGAGTCAGAGCCACCAACCTGACCTACACCTACACATCCAGCCTAGGGCATTGTGCAGGCAGCTGGACAGCACTGCCTGGAAGGAACAAACACCTGGGTGATGTGAAGGTCAGTACCTTGACAGGAGCTTGGGCTGTACAGGTGTATGCATCTGTCAGAAGTCACTATTCATTGTACACAAATAGTCTTCAAAAAATAAAGAAAAAAAAGGATCCATAAACAACCTGAACTTTAGCCAAATTATATGGGGGAAGTGTACTGCTGTCTGCAGCTTATTTTGGTTGGGATGGACAAGAGACAGGAATGGGTAAATGAATGGTTATGTAATGAAGAAAGAGTTAATTGAAAACGTAGCTAAAGCCATATTCAGAGGCCACTCTGGCCTTTCATTTCCGCAGAAAAGAGATGAGCTAAGCAACTCATACGCACCTAAAGAAAGCCAGAACAGAGAAAACAGAAGCCAGAAAGTTGGAGGACAAGAGAGTAGGATTATTAAAATCAAGAGTTCTTAGACTGGAAGTGATGAAACCTCTTAACTAATCAGAAAGTGGGGGATACAAATAATGATAAAGAGGCCAAAAACATTTAATAACAGGAAAGCAACATACGACCCTCTGGTAAATTAATTATTTTAGCCAGGTGCCAGTGGCTCACACCTGTAATCCTAGCTACGTAGGAGGCTGAGATCAGGAGGATCTCAGTTTGAGGCCAGCCAGGGCAGGCAGTTCTCAAGACCCCATGTCAGTGGAAAAAAGCTTGGTGTAGTGGCAGAAGCCTGCCATCCCAGTAACAACGGCAGGAAGCGTAAAATAGGAGGATTGAGTCCAGGCTGACCTGGACAAAAAGCAAGACCCCACCTCTCCAAAATAACCAGATCAAAAAGGACTGGAGGCATGGCTGAAGCAGTAGAGTTCCTACCTTGCATGTACGAACCCCTGAATTCAAACCCCAGTACCACAAAAATTATTGTACGAGAAACCATGAGAGGCAAAAATTGACTCAAGTAGTTAATAAAAAGAACAAGTACCATTTTAAAGAACAATACTTTAGAAATATTCAGGTCTGAATGGTCACAGTCTTTTAACTTTTTCAGATCTATCTTTCAAATACTTTATACAACTTTATGCAAGGAATTGTGAAAAAATTATGAAGGAATGAATCATTTCTTAAGAAACACCCAACAAGTGACAGAAAACATAAAATTACTGATCATGGGAGAAATGGACATACTTCTCTAAGGATCACCTTCAGAAACATGCACTTGCCAGGCACCAGTGCCTCACACCTCTAATCCCAGCTACTCAGGAGACAGAGACCAGGAGGATTGTGGGTCGAAGCCAGACTGGACAAATAGTTTGCAAGACCCTATCTCAAAAACAAAAAGACCTTCACAAAAAAAAGGTCTGGAGGAGTGGCTCAAGGTGTAGGCCCTGAGTTCAAATGCCAGTACCATGGGGAAAAAAAAAAACCAAACCACATATATATTTTAGGACTGGGTGGGGTGGGGTGGTACACGCCTTTAATCTTAGCTACTCAGGAGGCAGAGGTAGGAGGATCACAGTTTGAGGGCAGTCCACACAAACACATGAGATAGTACCTGAAAAACAAACTAAAGCAAGAGGAGGAGTGGCTCACATGGTAGCGTGCCTGCCTAGCAAGGGCAAGTCCCTAAATTCAAACCCCAAGATCACAAGACAAACAGAACCATGTACTTTCTTTAGTCTTCAAGGAAAAAGTAACGCAAACCATATTTCAACACGTGAGAACACTGAGGTCAAAATGTCCCAAATTAACTTTACAAAGCTGCAGAACCACACTAAAAAGAGCAAAAAAAACCCCTACAAAATAATCTTTTTTGAAATTTTCATGTAAACACAAGAAAATCTTCAGAAAAACATTAGCAAATATTCAGCTCTATGAAAATTAACTACTTATTCCAAAACAAAAGGACTGAGAGAAACATTTGACTGTTGTGAAATGTCTGGCTGGAAGCCTGTGACAAAATCCAACCTCAGACAGATCTGGAAAAGAAGCCAAGGTGGGGAAGGGGCTCCCTGCCCCCAGTCACATCCAGAAGGACCCTCTGCTCCTGCATTACCTCTGGAGCACAAGATGTGCAAGTTTGTGCTACTTTGTAATTAAGTCTCATCACAGGAGCTGAAAATATAAAGATTTAACCAAAAGGGAGGAGAAACCAGCTTCTTGGTTTTCAGAGGAGGAGGAGGCCAGACCTTGCAGAGGTTCATAAAGTGGGTTGTGCCACTCACTCTGGGCACAGGCTATCCCCCTACAGTCCACCCTCCCCAACCCCCCAAGTCCGCTCCTGGCCATCTTCTCTGTGCCTCAGATAAAGCTGGTCACAAAAGGCATCATCTACAGGTTCTAAGTAATCAGCTCCAGGATCCTGTGGGGTCTCTGTGAGCTGGGAACAGGCCCAGTGTTCCTGGGACAGAAGCCCAACCTTGGCACAGACAGATGTGAGAGGCTGGTATGGTTATCCTGGAAACGGCGGCATGAACTTACTCTGTAGCCATTGCTCACGCCGCAGCCTCAGTTTCTCCTTCTTTGGCAAAATGGTCTTGACCTCCGCACCTGAGGAGAGAACACATGGGTAAGAAATGGGTGTTCAGATGGTGCTTCTGCTCCAACAGGCCATAGCCCCACCCCACAGAGTCTGATGTCAGGCCAACGGTGCTGGCCCCCCGAAGCTCATAGTGGCTGTTCTGTGCCTGGGTGACAGCTGCCCCCAAGAAATCTGTGTAGCACTAGGGACACACACAGTACCTGTTACATAACGTCAGGAAGCTAAACACAGCCAGGCTTCCCTTCCTGCCAGCACCAGAGTGCAAAGCATGAAAGTCAGGTGTGCCTGGGTTTCTCATGTCTCCAGGACACCTCCTGCCATTAGAACACAGGACACCAGTCTCTCCTCTATAGCTCCCTGTCCTGCCCTAATTAGTGGTCACTTTACCTGTCCCAGTTCTGTGACCATCTCCCTCAGGCATCCAATCTTGCCTCATCTCACTCTCTGTATTGTGTCTGCACATTCCCACTGGGGTGGCTGAAGTATGCCTCAAATTCCTATGCTCAAGACCCACACCTGGTCTCTCAGAACACGAGTATCTTCAGAGAGGAGGTCTTTACAAGATGATAGGTAAAAGGAGGTCCTTATAAACTAGCTAGGATCCTTGTAAGTAGAGCATAGGATGGCTCAAATGGTAGAGCACCTGCCCAGAAAGTATGAAGCCCTCAGTTCAAACCCCAGTACCTCCAAAAAATAAAAGAAAGAAAAAGAGAGATCAGGACACAGACACACATGGGGAGATAACCACATGAGGACATAAGGAAGATACCATCTGCAAGCCAGGAAGAGCCCAAGTGCTCCAGCCCCAGCATGCAGGACTACTGAGACCACTAATATTGTTAAGCCAGTGGGTTTGTGGTGCTTTGTCACAGCCTGAGATGCAGCCCGTCTCCCGAGGAACAGTGCAATGCCATCAACCCGGTGAGGTGCACATCACTGCAGCCACCTTTGAGGCAGTGTCTCTGTAAACTCATCCACTAATGGCCTGGGGGCACCGGCAACAGTGAGCTGCCCAGGGTCACAGGGAGCTTCCATTGACCAGTGTGACTGCTGGGCCCACTGCACATGAGGACCCTCTATAAACCACTGTGCCTCGAGGCAGGGTGGCTTCAGGCTGGGCCAAGCTGACTCTTCACTTGCACCCAAGGGATGCTAAAGCTGAAAGGGTCCTAGAGACACGGGATATGAAGCTTTCGTCCCCAAAGTAAGCTATGACAAGGTGTGGACGTAGGTGTAGCCTCAGAGTGCCTAGAAAACATAGTTGGTCCCCAAATGCAGGATGTGGGGCCTCCCAGGCCTATCAGGACCACCTGCCCCCAGCACACAGGACCACATGCTCTGTGGTGACATCAGTGAGGCCTGCCCCACATTACCAGGAGGTGACTGGTAATAGCTAGACACAGACAGTAAGCTATGTGAGCAGAAACTGCTGCAGACATATGTGAGCTTGGCTGGCCCTGCAGTGCCCAAGCAGTGCCAGCTGGAGCCTTGGGCAGTTCTGAGACTCCTCTTCTGAGGATGGCCACAGCTAAGACAGTGCCCAGATGGGCTGCAGCCAGCCAGGGGACACTGCCCCTGGCCAGTACAAGGCTTCCTTCTGACCCTTGGTGCAAAAGCCGGACCAGAGCAACTAGTCAGCAGGAGTCAGGATATGGGATGGGAGGCCCCTCACAGAGCACTGAGCCTCATGAAGCCCCCATGTCCTTGGGCTCCAGAGCACAATGCAGGCCCTTATTGTCGGCTTTCACTCATTTTCCCAGAGATGACATGGCTTCAGCCCTGGCCACATTCACCCAGAACACTTGTGAAGGAGACACGGTCTCCTGATTCTAATGTGTGCAGATTTTCCTGGCTAGAACAACAGACCCCTCGGCATCCAGGGACAAACAAGCAGAAACAGGTTGTCAAGAGAAGGCAGTAACCCTGGCAGACACTCAGACATCGTCCATGTGGCTGCACACTGCATCAAACCACAAGTGAGGTGACACTGGGACCCAAACGTGGGTTGTCAGGGCTGGGATGGGACTTGAGGAATCTGGGACGTGTGGAAGCCTGTGAAGGAACCAGGCCTGGCCAAACAAGGATTCAGAAGTGCCTGATGGTGGGGCGCCCCAAGTGGAGCAGGAAGGAATTCTCTGCAACTTCTTTGTAACTTTGAAATTACTTCAAAAGAAAAAAATCTAAGACAGTGGAAATGAACTCAAACAGTAACCTGCCTTGGCGCCATGCTGGGATGAAGGAAGCTGGTGCAGGCCACATCAGGAGTGTGGTGTGTAACCCTTCCAGCCCTGGCCAGGAGTCCCAGCACCACCCTCATGTCTCTGGGGAACCGGACCAAGCAGGCACCAGGGCCTAAAATGCTGACATCACACCAAGGCCCCAGACCCTGGTCAGCAGCCCCAGGATCCTGCTACTCTCTGGGCCCCCAGTCTGCCCCACCGTATCACGTTCTAGACAAGGTGACACTCCCTGCACAGATTCCTGCATGAGGGCATACAGGCAAGTCCATAACTACGAGGCAACAGGACAGGTATATAAGCCCCCACACTGAGCGTAGGGACATGTGTGATGTCAGTGGGCTCCTCTGGTTTCTCACCTAGAACAGGACACAGGCTAAGGCAGTAAGCTTAGCTTGCTTGCTGCCAAGTATAGGGAACTCAGGGGAGCCACCAGGGCAGAAGCAGCAGCTCAGCCCCATCTGCAGCAGGCAGAAGTGTGCCCACATCTAGGCTTCGCCTGACCACTAGGTTACCCATGTTGTCAGCACTGTAGCCCCAGTGATTTGACCAAGTAACAACCATGCCAGGGCAGGTCACCCAGCTGTCTTCATTAGAGAACCAGACTGAAAGTAGGTGCCCAGATTGCAAAGTCCAACCTGCAGCTTGGTCTCAGGGGTGAGCAAGTACCCCCAAGCTTATAATAACAACAGCGTAAGAGAACCCACCAACCATCATGCTGAGCTTGAGGGCTGCAGGCGGGAACCAGGTGCCCTGTGCCCTCCCTGCTGTGAGTGCAGGCCACCTGGTGCATGGGAAGCCCACACCTCTCCACCTGGTCCTTCTCGCCTGATCTATTACCACCACAGCACCAGGGGAGGAGGGCAAGTCCCCTCCATCACTGTGAGAAAACACCTGAGATAAGCAAAGGAAGGGTGTGGTAGCCCACACCTGTAACCCCAGGTACTCAGGAGCCTGAGGTGGGAGGATCATAAGTTTGAGGCCAGCCAGGGCAACAGAGAAACACTCCCATCCCCCAAAAAACAAAGAGGAAAGGTTTATTTTGGCTAACAGTTTCAGAAGTTTCAGTCTGTGGTCTCTTGGCCCCATCACTTTGGGCCTGTGACAAGGCAGCACACCATGGTTGTATGAGGTGGAACATGACAGCCAAGAAGCAGAAAAGAGAGCTCAGGGCCAGGGTCCCATTATCTCCTTCAAGGGCATGTCCCCAGTGACCTAACTTCCTCCCACCAGACCCCACCACCTAAAGGTTCCACCACCTCCTAGAAGGAGAACCAGCTGGGACTAAGTCTTCAATACATGAGCTTTTAGGGGACCATGACAACCTCATCAAACCAAACCCCATGGAACCCCAGTTGGGGGAGGCAGACAGAACTCTGGAGGGAGCAGTCATTCCCTCATTCCTTCAAAGTACAACCTCCCTAGGAGGTGTGTCTCAAAGCTCCAAACACTCAGGGCCCTGGCAGGAATCAGGTGTGTCCCAAGCCAAGATGGACCTAACCCAGGGCAGCATGCTGACGGAAACCACACCTCATACTCCTTCCAGGTAGCCAAAGCCTCGGGATTGACCATTGCTGATGAAGCCAACAAGCCTAAAGGGCTAAGAGGAACGGAAGCTGGTGTGGTGGTGCATACCTGTAATGCCCAGCACTCAAGAGGGGGAGGCAGGAGGATCACAAGTTCAATGCCCATACACAGGCAGATCTTGTCTCAAAAGACAAACAAACGAAGGCCAACCCAGCCTTGTGATGGGTTGAGTGCTCCTATGGTTTGGGTTGAAGTGGGGCCCATCAGCAGCCAGGGGTATTCCTGTCATCCACCCTGATGCCTGACCTGGGCTGGAATCCAAGGCATCAGTGTCCTGGTGACCACAGAGCCAGTAGGCAGATGGACGGTGGTGGGGAGGAGGTGACGAACACAGCAACACAGGATGAGCCTGCCGACCGTGGGCTGCATCCCTCCACCGTACCTCCCTCCCTGAGTCCTCACCAGAGCCCAGGAGGCAGCTGCTGTGGACACACCTACACAGGGAGGAGCAGTAGTTCAAGAAGGCAGCCCAACAGCACTAGGCCAGCACTGTCCTTTGAGGTCACTGGGGCTTTGAGAGCCCCACAAAGGAGCTCCTGTGGTGAGGACAGGGCTAAAAGAGTAGACTCTCTGATGCTCAACTCTGGAATGATGAGCCAAAGCCCTGTTTCTGTACTGCCAAACCATAGGGCCCAGACCTATCTAGCTGCCAGTATCTGTGGTGTGACCCCGACCCAGACAGCAAGTCCAAGCTCAGGCCAAGGTGGCTCACAGCCCTCAAACAAGAATATGGGGAGCTGTTGCAGAAGCAGAGCAAGGGGGATAGGATGGGGCAGCACCTGCTGTGTCTTAAATGTGCACACCTTTGATTTGGCAATCCCACAGCTGTGGCTCTCCCTATAAATATGTGTACTCACATTCACAAAGATGTTTGTTACATATAGTGACAATTGTGTCATGTGACAAATGAACTCTCACCAGCCTCCAAGAGAACTGCTGTGTAATACGTGAGCAGTGAGGGTCTGGTGTACACACATCTGTGCAAATGGGTAAAGAGACAGAGAAGTCACCACAGAGGAGGCTCTCACTGGCACCATGGAGTTGTCATTGTCACTCCCGCACACAGTAAGAGGCAGTCTTAGTGGGACACAATGGAGGAAGCTCAGTGATCTCTGGGAGCAGATACACTCACAGGGAGAGAAGCAACCTGGCCAGAGGCTGGAGCAGGCAATCATCCTTGAGGG